GCTCTTCACATGATCTCTCGTCGTTGGTCTCTGTCTGTTTTATTGTTTTCAGAGTAGGTACTCCTGCAATGATAAATTGAAAATTTTTTTCCACAGTATTTTTTCGTAATAAGGTTTTAACGAGACATTTTATTTGTATAAAACATCCAAGGGGGAGTGTTACGTACACGTAGATACTATGTATTATGTTGTAATCAATACACAATATGTCTACGTAGTACATATGTGGAGGAGACGTGGATCTCTCTCTATATATGTGTACTAATTTTTAGAATAAAAATAAGTCTTCACAATATTCAATTATCATTTCATAAGCACCCACGCTAAACTTTACTTCTATCTTCCTATCTATCAGTCGCTCCCTTTCTAGTCGATCATATATATTTACTTCTACATATTATATACATGTATCAATATATATTCTTTATATACAATATACACTCCAACCTCATATATATATATATATACTTACTAATTATATAATATTATTATATAATATACAATATTATATGGATTGTTGCTTTGACCTGAGCTGACTTAATGACGTAGTTAGATATTGATTACTATTTACTTTGTACATCTCTTTAATTAGACAAATTTAGATCACAATAAGGCTTAAAGCGATAAAAAACAATATGGAGTATAATAAAATAATAGCACTTTAAAAGAAATTTCGTTATCAGGGTAGTAGTGAGACGTTGTACATTATTTGTACTGTTGGAGCCGGCCCTGTTAAATGAAATTTTACTAAGTTAATTAATACAAAGGATGTTTATTATTTAAGAAAATATCTTGAAAGATCGAGAATCAAGTAATGAAAGAAGCTCAATTGTATGTATCAACCCAAGGAGATCACATGTTATGCTTTGTAGCGATTGCATGCAAGGCAGCTGGTCCTAACAATCCATTCATCGAAGGAAAAAAACAAAGATGTTTAGGTACATGTGATTAGATTTATCAAAAAATTGAGCGGAAGAAAGTAATTGATACTTCATATACAAAACTTTCATGATCTTAGATGAATAAATTGAACAAGTTTTCTAGCTGGAGCTGGTTAGCTAGCTAGAAAGAGAGTATAGGGAGATGATGGTTAATTATAGCTTTGTTCGATTCAACAAAGTCAAGTAGCTTGCATCGAAGAACTAATTTAACCAGATCAAGCAATAATCTACGTACTTGAATTTAAACATATCACTTAGTAGACCAAATGGCTACTAGCGAATTTAAAACTTGGCACGATTGACTTGGTCATCCTAGCAATGTAATGCTGAGGCGAATTGTTGAAAATTCAAATGGCCTTCTATTGAAAAAGAAAAATATTTTGAATCCGAATGAATTTGCTTGTGCTCCTGTTCCCAAGGGAAGTTAATAATCAGGCCATCTTCAACAAATATTAGATTTGAATCCCCAGCTTTTCTGGAAAGAATTCAGGGTGATATTTATGGACCAATAGATCCACCGTGTGGACCCTTCAAGTACTTTATGGTACTAATTGATGCGTCAACGCGATGGTCACACGTATGTCTGTTATCTACTCGCAATCTAGCTTTTGCTAGACTACTTGCACAAATAATTAAATTGCGAGCACAATTTCCAAATCACCCGATAAAGAAAATACGTCTAGATAATGCTGAAGAGTATTCATCACATACATTTGATGATTATTGCATGTCAATTGGGATTACTGTGGAACACCCTGTTCCCCATGTACATACGCATAATGGCCTCGCTGAATCCCTTATCAAAATATTGCAATTAATTGCCAGACCATTGTTAATAAGGTCTAAACTTCCCGTATCATGTTGAGGACATGCTATATTGCATGCAGCAGCCCTCGTGAAAATAAGGCCGACCAGTTATCACTGTTATTCCCCTACTCAATTGGTTTTTGGAAAAATACCAAATATATTTCACCTGCGAATATTTGGGTGTGCTGTTTATGTTCCAATTACGCCACCTCAACGCACGAAAATCGGACCTCAAAGAATGTTGGGTATATATGTCGGGTATGAATCACCCTCGATCGCAAAATACCTTGAACCACAACGGGTGATTTATTCACTGCGAGGTTTGCAGACTGTCATTTTGACGAATCACATTTCCCGACATTAGGGGGAGACAATAATCAACTGAAAAAAGAAATTTCATGGAAAATACCACTTGAATTTGATCATCGTACGAAACATAGTGAACTTGAAGTTCAAATAATTGTACATTTGCATAAAATTGCAAATCAATTGCCTGATACTTTTAATGATGCTGCCAGGGTTACAAAATCATATATTGCAGCAGCAAATGCACCAGCCAAAATAAATAGCCCAGAAGGGAAAGTGCCAAGTGCTAATGAGCATACTGCCCGCGTAAAACTTGGCAGACCATTGGGTTCCAAGGATAAGAATCCACGAAAGAGGAAAATTGTAAATACTGGTGAAGATATCAACAATGATTAGATAACTGAAAAGGTCAGTACAACCCCTGAAGAGGTTGATACTAAAAATTCTGATGAAAGTAATGATAAAGTTATTGAAACTTCTGTTAACTATACCACAAGTGGAAAATATTGGAATAGAAAGAAAACAAATATTAATAATGCATTTGCATATTCTGTAGCACTCGATATAATGAAAGATGACGAGGATTATGAACCAAAATCAGTTGATGAATGTCGGCAAAGAGATGATTGGGCAAAATGGAAATATGCAATTAAGTATGAATTGGACTCATTGAATAAACGGCAAGTATTCGGACCCATAGTCCAAACACCTGAAAATGTGAAACCTGTTGGCTACAGATGGGTGTTTGTGAGAAAAAAAAAATGAAAATAATGATATCACAAGATATAAAGTAAGGCTTGTAGCCCAGGGTTTTTCCCAGAGACCGGGTATTGATTTTGAAGAAACATATTCGCCGGTCATGGATGGAATAACATTCAGGTATTTGGTGAGCCTAGCAGTACACAATAATCTTGATATGCGATTAATGGATGTGGTTACTGCCTATCTTTACGGCTCTTTAGACAATGACGTCTATATGAAAATCCCAGAAGGGATCAACATACCTGAATCATTCAAATCAAAGCCAAAAGAATCATATTCCATCAAATTACAAAAATCTTTTTATAGGCTCAAGTAATCGGGCCGAATGTGGTACAATCGGGCGAAAGCTTGACAAAAGAAGGTTACATAAATGACCCTATCTGTCCATGTGTTTTCATAAAGAAAAATGGGTCAGGATTCGTAATCATCGGTGTATATGTCGATGATCTCAATTTAATTGGAACTCCTGATGAAATTCAGAAAACTATTGAATATCTGAAAAAGAAGTTCGAGATAAAAGATTTTGGAAAAACTAAATTTTGCCTTGGTATGCAAATTGAGCACTTTGAAAGTTGAATCTTCATCCACCAATCAAATTATACCAAAAGGGTATTGAAACAATTTCTGATGGATAAGTCACATCCACTAAGTACCCCAATTATCGTCAGAGCACTCGATCCAATAAAGGATCCATTTAGACCAAAAAAGGAAACTGAAGAAACACTTGGCCCAGAAGTGTCATATATGAGTGTTATAGGCGCATTGATGTATCTTGCTAGCAGCACCCCCTGATATATCATTTGTTGTAAAATTATTGGCAAGATTAAGTTCATCGCCTACTCGATGACATTGGAATGAGATTAAGCATATTTTTCGCTATCTCCAATGAACAATTCATCTCGGGTTATTTTACTCGAAAGATTCTCGATATTAATTGATTGGATTTGCCGATGCAGGATATTTATCGGATACTCATAAAGCAAAGTCGCAAACTGGCTATATAGTTACTTGTGGTGAAACTGTGATCTCTTGGAGATTGATGAAACAAACATTAACTGTCACTTCGTCAAATCATTCTGAAATATTAGCAATACATAAAGCTAGTCGAGAATGTGTTTGGTTGAGGTCTATGACTCAATATATTCTGAAAAATTGCAGGTTAATACCTGACGATAAAATCCCTCCGATTACATTATATGAAGATAATACAGCTTGTATAGCTCAATTCAAAAGGGGTTACATCAAAGGAGATAGAACGAAACATATTTTACCAAAATTCTTTTTCACTCATGATCTTCAGGAAAATGGTGAAATTAATGTGCAGCAAATTCGATCAGATAATAATTTCGCGAATATATTAACCAATGCATTGCCGACGGCAACATTTGAAAAACTGGTAAAGAAAATTAGGATGCGTCGGTTAAGGGATCTCAAATAATGCTCAGATCAGGGGAGCGAATTGATACAAGAATGGTGTACTCTTTTTCCTTCACTAGAATTTTTTTGTTCCACATGATTTTTTCTTAGTAAGATTTTAACAAGTCACATTCTCTGTATAAAAGCATCCAAGGGAGAGTGTTATACACGTAACACCCATGAAAGTGCTACGTATTAGATATGTATGCTTTTCCTTGCCTTCTTGTTGAGGTTATCTGCTTATATATATGTCAGTTATTAAAAGAAATAAACACACTCGTTCATGCTCTCACTCACCCTGCTCTCCTATCATTATTACTATTATATCATTATATACATATACACTAACACTAACACTAACGCACACACCAAAGATAATATATATACATAGATACATTATCTAATATATATTATATTTACATACCGCATACACACTTATATCTATTTACATATATTTATATACAATATATATATAATATTATACAATATATAAAATAATAGTTAACTGTAAAAATAATTAGTATTTTTATTGACTAATTCTATAATAATATTACAACAATATATATGAAGTGGATGGAGTATTACAATATTTTTTACATCTGACACTATATATACAGTAATAAAATATTATTAAAAAATACAACTGAAACAAGTCAATAACATTGAACCAACATGAATTATTTATTTATTTATTTTTTTAAAAACACGGATTTTACAACAATTAATTTTATAGTCGCGCTGTTAAAGAACACGATTTCTATTTTGAGGAAGAAATTGTAAATTGCACATACCCAGTCCCCGACTATGGTCGATTCTCTTCCCGATTCCTAATTCGATCGGAAACTCCAAACCCAAACCCTAGTTTGTTCGCTGCTCTGCATTACCATGGCGGGTATGGGTGACGGCTACGTTGGGACAGCGCAGGACGCCGTTCGTATTCGACGCCTGGAGAAGCAGAGAGAAGCCGAGCGTCGCAAAATCCAAGAACTCAAGAACAAAACCGCAGCTTCCAAAGGCCAACCTGGTCTCCTCCAATTCGGTTCCAGCACCTCCGAGGTACTATTATTTTTCCTTTCGAAAACTTTTCAATCTGATGCCGTAGCAGACAATTTCTTTTTCGTAAAAGCCTTGAGGATGCGAGGCTTGTAGTGCTTGAAATTGTTAACTTTGAAATTGAACAATGAAATCAAGCCCGAAATTTACACTCCAGAGCAAGCTTAATATAATTTAATGTTGTATATAACTCAAGCTATGATAAAGTCTGACTCTGTCCGGCAATAGTATGATGGGTCGTTTTGCTTTTGTTTTCCCTACTTTCTGTTTTGTCAAATTCAAATATTGGTTCATTGTTCAGATTCTTGAGACTGCATTCAAGAAGGAGACTGTTGGTTTGGTTACTCGAGAAGAATATGTTGAAAAGGTATTGTTTGTTCCTTAGGCTTGGTTTTCTTCCCCTCCTTTTCTTCTTTGAATGTTTGTGTCGTTGAATTCACTATAATTATTTATCTGCAGAGGGTGAATATTAAAAACAAAATAGAAGAAGAAGAAAAGGAGAAACTCCTGAAGTTGCAGCAGGAGTATGTTATATTTTGATGAATTTTTTTTTTTTCTCATTATTATATTTAAAATTAAAATTTTTCTTCACAATTTGTTCTGATCTCCACTTTTTTTCTTGTAGAGAAGAAGAGCTTCAGTTACAGAAATTGAAGAAGCGGAAGATAAAGGCTGACCCTCGACTATCTTTTTCTGATGATTTTGAGAATGATAACGATGATGAGGAGGAAGAAAATAGTAAGAATTTCAGCTTAATTTGTTCTTATTCTTATGATGTTTTATTTAATTATGTATCTGTACTCAGCAAGATTTCAATGTTACATTTGTAAAAAAAACATCACTTGCATTATGGATTAAAATCTCCCTTCCATGTGCTGTAGATTGTATACATTTGCCATGGCTCATGGTCACTGGAATTCTGGTGAATTGGTTTCTAAGCAGAAGATATCACGATACTTTTCTAAGTGTTTTGTTGCAGTACGCTTAATTTGGTTTTTTATGTTCTTCATCTCCTTTTCTGGAATGTGTTGGTCAATTATCTATTGCATAGGATATATCGGCATGCAGGTTTTGTGGAGTGTATGAAGTTATAGTTTGTAGGATGTATGAGCCCTCCAAACAATATCCATTCTGCTCCTTGAAGCAATTATTGATTGCTAATTTATAAAATAACATTACCTGTGAAGTATTAATGACTACGTGCATGCTAAGATGCAATTAGAATGTGCTGCTGAAATGTAGATGTTATATGATGATTTTTGGGGATGGGTAGGAATGATTAATTCTGTGTACATTTCCCTTGATGCGCTATTTCATCTTTATTGCAAGGGAATGAAGAATTGGAGAAGTTGAGCCGCCAAAAATTTGGGAAATATGGAAAAGATCCTACAGTTGAAACCAGTTTCTTGCCAGATAGGTGTGTAATCTCTTCCTTTTCTTTTTTTACCTTAATAATCGCCTTCCATACTTATGTATCATATTGCATATCTAGTATCTACCATTTGTCATCTGAATCTTTTCCCTACAATTCTGTATACTTTACTTATCCTGGGCTTTTGAGTTTGAAGCACATTCTTACAGTGAGAGGGAGGCTGAGGAACAAGCTGAGCGTGAAAGGTTGCGAAAACAATGGCTTCGCGAGCAAGAACAAATCAAAAGTTAGTGTTGTCTATGACGCTTTATGGAGCAATGTTCTTGTATATGTTATAATTTAAGTATGTTTCTTACCTTGTAGATGAGCCTCTTGAGATTACTTATAGTTATTGGGATGGGACTGGTCATCGGAGAGTCATTCAGGTTATATATGCTTAGTCTTTTTCTTAATTTAAGGAATTAACCTGACACTGCTAATAATTGTGCTTGAGCCGAATTCTGGATTTTTGTTGGCATTGATCATTGTATCTTTCAGGTTCGTAAAGGTGATACAATTGGTGAGTTTCTCCGTGCTGTTCAGCAACAACTTGCTCCAGAATTCCGAGAGGTTCGGACCGCTTCAGTAGAGAATCTACTTTATGTGAAGGAGGATCTCATCATTCCTCATGTAAGACTGATACTGCCATCTCGGAGTAGCAATTTTATTTTTTTAATTCACAGATGAAACCTTCATATAAATATATAATATCATTTAATCAGATCAGTTGAGAAAAGCATAAATTGATATATGTGTTCTGCCTCCTCATAATTTACCCTCCGTTTTTCTTCATATTGCAGCAACACAGTTTTTATGAGCTGATTGTGAACAAGGCTAGAGGGAAAAGTGGACCGGTACCTACTTTTTTCTCATACTCAAACCAATTGTTTATTTTGAATTTTGAAATATTTTGCTTTCAGTATATTACCTGTGAAATGCTGTCTTTCTTTCATATAATTTTTTAAGAAGTAATTCATTGCATCATGCTCCCGCTCCCTTCTTTCATCACATTCATTAGCATTTTTTATATGAGGAAAATTGGCCATTAATTTCACAGATATCAGCACTCAGCAGTTTAGGTTCACTTTATCTCCAATTCTGTGAGATGTATAACTTCATACCTGATTTTTATCTTTTAACATTACCATAATTTCCATAAATGTTATCAGATTTTTGACATGTCCTTTATATCATTGTACTACTAAACAAGTTAAAAGAAGTACACTAATAAACAAAATGGTCAATTAAGAAAGCAAATTGAATCATTAATATTTTCACTTAAGATTTATGACTTTAGTCTATGTTGTAGGGTTTAAGTCTCTTCTGGGATGGTATTTAGAGATACAATTATTCTGTAAACATAGGAGGTTTTTAAGAATTCTATATAATTGAGTTAGTCTTCATAGGGAGATCCCATCGATGTTTGCAGTCTTATTTCATCTTTCTTTTTGTTGTGAAATTGTATTATTGTTGTACGCAGATGTAAGTATGGCTTTATATTAACTTGACCTTAAAGTGAATAGATCATATTTCTATCTGTACTTCATTAATTTTAGGGAAATTAACCTACTTCTGAAGCGGGAATCTTAAGGATCGATGAGACTCTTTACGTGTAGTGGGATACTGATTTTGAATGCAATTTGTGTTTGTTCTTTGTTTTCACTTGCAGCTTTTCCACTTTGATGTACATGAGGATGTTCGCACCATCGCTGATGCTACAATCGAGAAGGATGAGGTAAGGGCTCTGTCTACAAAAGTTTGATTCCTAAATTCCTAATAGAATAGATAACTCCATTCATCATTCGATTTCTTTTCCTTAAAAACTTTGATATTTAAGTGATACGGAAAGAGGCAACAATTCAACTACCATTTATGATTGAATGATGAATCACCAAAATAGGTTCGTTTGCTCAAGTTTTGGATTGTTTTAGATGTTTTTGGAGTATGTTGAATTTGAAAGAAGTAAGATTCCATTTAGATAGGGACTTTGGGAGTTATGAAAAAATTTGGAAATAGTAAAAGGTTTAGGGTTGTTTTGTGAGAAAGAATTAAGTATTTGATGTGATGTTTTTGAAAAAAAATTATTGTTAATGAATAGTGTCAAGAGCTCAAAAAACGACTGATGGTGTTTGGAGAATAAATATTGGTTGTGATAGTTTTTAAGAGAAAATATTTTACAGTAGATTCCAACAAAAACAAGCTTGAAAACATACACACACATTGGCATGTGTAATGTGAACATTTTATAATTTACTACGATAATTGATACTTGTATCTGGATATGTAAATCCAAGTTATTTGTTTGATCAACAGTCTCATGCCGGTAAAGTTGTGGAGAGGCATTGGTACGAGAAGAACAAGCACATATTTCCGGCTTCGAGATGGGAGGTAATTCATTTTTTCTCGCAAACAAATCACAAATCCGTATTTCACCACATCCATCCTACAAGAACTCTTCCAATCCCCATTCCGGTTCCCTTTCTGTGTAGATATACGACCCAACCAAAAAATGGGAACGATACACAATCCACGGGGATTGACTCGTTCATCTAATCAAGCATCGCAGCAGGGTACGACATTTTCATATCAGCTCTAATTATAATATTCATTTGATGGTGAGATTGCAATTTTCATGTGTATGCTATCAAGCTTTGCTTTTTCCCATATATTGAAATAGAAAATGATGGCTGACTTTATTCATCTTGTTAAGTTTGATTGAACTTTTTAGCTTTTCGTTTGAATTATACTAGTCTCAGTAATTTTACTAGTTACCAACCAATATTTTACTGTGTGTTTGTCTTGGGTTTGGATTTTGAGTTGGGATTTGAATAGTAAAAATTTTTAATTTGAATAGTTGTATGATGTGATATAAATAGGTGTTGATGTGATGTTTTGAATGTAAAATTGATTTTTAGTATAATATAAAAAATAAAAAATAAGTGTTTGATTTGATATTTTTGGGGGAAAAAAATAGGATGAATAGTGAAAATTAAATCCAATCTCCCAAACAAACACACCCACATGTGTTTGTTTTGAGATGATCAGAGAATAGTAAAGCTTGTGGACTTACCCATAATCCTTCTATTCATTCAATTTTTTCCTTATTAGTATACAAGACAAATGATAGAAATGATAACTTTTTGCAAATATGTAGGATATGTAAATTTAGGTATATTAGACATTGTTTTTCTAACAAAAATATTAATATACTATACTATTCATTATTTTTATATTATTTATACAATTTTCTATATTTCATATAAAAAAAAAAAAAAATCAAAGTAAAAACAAAACATACATACCTTTAGTATTTTATTGAAGTGTAGTGAAAATAATATATGTAAAGAAAATTTTATCCTTATTTTTTTTTTTCTGTAAAAGTAATAATATGATAATAAAATAAAGATTTTTATATTTATGTGGAATATAATTTTACTATAAAATAAAAATAAAAAGATTTGAGTGGACACGTTAAAATAAAAAATTGAGAAGATTTTGAGTGGACGGGAAAAATATAAAATCTATCTACTCTATATATATTTAGAAAAAGTTAATACTTCAATGGTAGATTGTATAACATTCTTTTGTATTTTAGTAAAAATGTATGAAATACTTTCTTATGCCAATTTAAAGTTTGTACAAAACACTCCAACATTCTTTTGTATTTTAGTAAAAATGTATGAAATACTTCCTTATGCCAATTTAAAGTTTGTACAGAACACCCCATTGTCTAAAACTGATGTTTAATTCTAAATAAAATCTAAATTACGCAAATTTATAAAATCTAAATTACGCAAGTTTTATACAAATTAAAGACGTAAAATATCTTAAATAATTTTATTTGAATAAAGTAAATAAGTATTTATTAATTAGATAATAATTCTTCTTAAAAAGTTATAAAATGAAGAATTAATAAATTATTTATTTATTTATTTTTTTAAGATATTTTATCTCTGTTTTTTTTTTTTTTTTTTTTAAAATCGGAAAGATATTTTATCTCTTTTATCTATATAAAATTTGTTTTTATTGAGTTCATATTTACAATCAAATATCATTTTTGAAAAAAATAGTTTTTTCGTACAAACTTTATATTAACACAAGAGAGTTTCACGCTATAAATAAAATAAAGGTGTTTTTAACATTTTTACCCAAACAAAATGGGTGTTATACAATTTACCCATACTTTAATACAAAATATTTGCTTTGTTCAGCCAATCTATTTCTAAATTATGTGGGGTGTGTTTTCTTAACAACAAAATATACACATATTTTTCCAAATATATTATATATCACACAATAATTATTTCTATAATCTTTACAAAATTCTTCATACCTAAAGTAAAAAAATACCCTTTCAAATATCTCATAAAACAAATACATCCTTCACTTTTCTAATACTCCTTCGGTCTCATTTAGTCTGTTTACTCTTTCTATCTCCGTCCGTTTTACATAATTTGTCTTTTTTTTTTGAAAATATAATTATACACTTTAATTATATTTTAAAATTCATAATTTATATATATATTATTTTAATTAACTATTTAATCATTTTTACTAATATACTTATTAATTATGCAATATTATTTTACTTTACGTGTCCCAAACTAAAATAAACAAATTAGCTGAAGCATATTAAATAAAAAAAATTATACAACCACAGAAGGTTTGTTTGGTTTTACTTTGTATTTAAAATTATTTGTATAAATTTCTTATTTAAATTAGTTAAATAGAGTACATCTATACTTATAGTACATAGAATATTAAATATGAATTTTATATTAAAATTAGTTATATATATATATATTAAACTAGGCTCGACATACAAGTAACGGTCACACGTCCAACCCCAATACCATCAGGTCATTTTTTACGAAATATATATATATTTTATAAAATATTGTCTAAGTATATATTAAAATTATTTAAAAATAACTCAACTACTAACATCTTTTGTGTATTTAATATTTTGGTATAAAAAATTCTTATGTAAAATATACTCCGTCCGCCCCGTGAAAGATGAAACTTTTTGTTAGGGACACGATATTTTAAATAGTGTAAGTTATTAAGTTATTAATAATAAGTTAAAATAATATTTTATTATTTTTTATATGTGTAGTGTTGTTGGTATTTTAAATATTTTTAAAATTATATCTCAATAAAATATATGTAATATAGATATCATTTTGCAGATAATAAAATTTTATATAATACAAATGAATAAAAAAATATATTTATTTATTTATCATTACCATAAATTAGTTTTATAAAAAATGAGAGTTTTAAAGGTATATAAAAATATTTATTAATTGAGGAGAGACATAGAAATAAAAGAGTTTTGAATGGTCCTTAATTTATATTTATTAAGTATGTTTAAGAATGATAAACTTACCAAAAATGAAAAAGGATCATCTTTTGTGGGGCGTAACAAAAAGAAAATGAAGTCATCTATGGCAAGACGAATGAAGTATAAAATGATACCTATAACATAAAAAAAATAATATTTTATATTAAAATTAATTTTTATAAACAATCAAATATATATTTAAAATTAAATCCTATTTATTTCAAAATGATGACAAATATATAAATCAAATAAATACTCTCTCCGTCCAATATAAATTATTTTTATTTTTTATATTAGTCTGTCCCATATAATTTGTCATTTTATTTTTTTAAAATATAATTATATATTTTAATTATAATTTAAATTTTATATTTTATAATTTTAATAAAATTATTAAATTTTTTCAATTTTAATTATTTATTTTATTAATAGACTTGTTAATTACTTATTTACAATACTTTATTTAAATTCCCACGTGGATAATGACACATCCAAATTACATGGCAGTACAAAACTAAAACACACATTCTTAATATGAGAAATTTCATCTGACAGGGGTAAAGTGATTTGACATTTTTACCCCCGATGAGAATAGTCAACGCCTATAAACTGGCCGCCCTTTTCCTTTCGTATCCTTAACTTGGCAATTTCTTTTCTCCACTCTGTTGTTTGGGCAAAAATCTCCGGAAAATGTCGATTAGGGTTTTCTTATTCCTCGCTTTGCTCCTTCTCTCATCGACGCTTCTTCAAGGTAATTATGCAGATCCAGATCTCTATTTTTAATTCTGAATTTTACTGTTCCTAATTTTGCTCTACTCGTTGCTTGAGTTGATGCTCGAATTGTTTGAGATTTTTGTGTTTTTTTCCTTTTGGCGTAATCTGATACCGATTGTATCAGATCAGGGATTCATCATCGTTCTTCATTTAGTAAATATGTTTGTAATTGAGTTATATCGTTACTGCTTTGGCTTATTTGATTTTGCGTTGATCGTTGTTTTTGTAATCTTCAGTTTTTGGTCTACGGATGTTTGGGATTTTAGTTGTTGCTGGCTGAAGAGTTGTTTCTGTCGTGGAAATGATGGAACACTTTTAGTGTATGTGCTGTTATTTATGTATTTTATAAAATATCGGTTTTTCCAAATATTGGAAGTATTGACGCTCTGAAGTTATGCCAATATCGAGAAACTGTTGAAAGTCAGATTGGAGATTCACTATTGGGAGGAATTCTATGAAAAGTTGATATGTAGATGCTGGTGTTCAGTTTTTCGTCTATCTATGTTTGGATCTATCTTTTAAGATGCAGATTTATTTTGTATTTTTTTTTCTTTTGGAGTCAAATACTTGGTTTTTACTATCCAAGCGGGCTCGAAATAATCCCTGGATGTTATTGTATAATGTATTGGCAGTTGCAATATGCGAGCCGGACCCTGATGCAGATGTTGAATCATCTGAGGTAGCAAAGGATCTTGGAATTGTTGGAGATGATGTACTATATGATGATGGGAATTTTAGCCCAGCCCCGGGCGTGGAAACGACTTGTTTATTCCCTAAAAACCCATCAAAACGTAAGTTATTTTGTTGAATTCTTGTATCATCATTTATACTGATTTTCTTTTCTTTTTTTTTCTTTAAATTGTTATTCACTTTGTATTTTTGGATGTGTACATTTTTTTATGTTAGGTGGTAAAGCATGTTAGTGATATAAAAAATAATAATATTTTGTATCGAAATGTTAATTCTTTTTGAGTGGATAGAAAAAATATATAATATTGTATATATTGTAATTCATAGGGAATTGTGTCACCAAAAATTTGTTGGGTGAGCACACTTTTTCATTGTTGATTTTTGATCTGCAGCTCAAAGTTGGTTTTTCTTTTTGCAGTTGTAGTTGCTGGGGAAGAAAGTGAGCTTCTTGTTGGATTAAAAAATGATGGTAATAATATATAGTTGTTACACCAGCTCTGTTTGCCCAATCTGGTGAATAGTTTTATCTAAATTTTGATTTTGCTTATTGTTTATAATAGAAGTACCTTATTATCGCATGTAGTATTTGTAAGCCATTGTATTCTTTCAATCTTTTTTTTTTCGAGTTGTATGCACTTGTTACATACAAACTATTGCAAATGGTAGAGCTAATTGAAATATATCATATTTTGTCATAACTGTAGGGGAATCAAATATTAAGGTTATCGCTGTTCAGGCTAGTGTGCATCTTCCTTATGATCACAAGTACATTATTCAAAATCTTACGGCCCAGGTATCCCTTGTTTACTTTGCTCAACTTGTTTTTAGCACATAGCCTTTGTCATCTACAAAATTGTTACTAAATAAGTAGCATGGACAGTGAATGATAGTAAGCATCATGTAGTGATGACAAAATGATTGGATTTCCGAAGTGATCCTTTTTTGTTGAACCACTTTTTCAACAGTTCATTGTGTATTATTTAGGCTTTGTTACCATCAAATGTATTACTGTCTTTCAGATAAATATGAGCTTTGTTCTTTCGTGTTTTTTCGGTAGGACCAGCAATTCTAGCTTTTTCATATGCAATTCCGAAAATCAACATTCCTTATTGCTCAAAACCTGTGAAATATTAACTTTGTAAATTGTGTTGTTTTTTTGGGCCTCTTTGTATATGCTCATCAATGTGGTCATTTGGTTTTAAAATTTTTTGATAAAATGCTGAATCCTTTATTGTGCGTCATTTCTGCAGGAAATAGTTTGAGCTTTAGCATTCAATGATTTTACTGGATGTAGAATTTTTATTCAAAATAAGTTTTTTGGATTATGTCTAACTTTTTTGTGTCAAATCTAATTACCCTGTCGGCTTCTGTTAGTTACATATGTATTTTGTTATTCCAGGTTTTTAATAACGCATCAGTTCCACCATCAGCCCAAGCAGCATTCCCTTATGCATTTTCTGTGAGCAAATTCTTTCAGGTATTTAATTTTCTGAGAGCAAGTTCATTCCTACTGTGCCTTTTACCCGGGATGCATTTCCATTAATATTTTATCATTTTCACTGTCATCTTGCAGTCGGGCACATTTGACCTTGTGGGGACTATTGTTTATGAGATTGATCAATACCCATACCAAAACACTTTCTACAATGGGACAATTGAAGTTGCTGAGGCTGGCGATCTGTTCAGTGTTGAGTCTGCATTGTTGGCATTCTTTGGAATTGCTCTTATTGGTCTTTTAGGATTATGGATACGTAGCCAGGTTCAAAATCTCTCCAAGGTAAGAATGTTTTTGCATGCACACAAATTTCTAGACATGCTTGTTGAAGTCCAAACTCTCAAAGACGGTTTGCGAATTTCCGAAAAGATTTGGTTGCAGAAATGGATTGAGAAATCGTTATCTATCATTTATGTCATGGATTAGAGTTATTGTTACTATCAATCGCAATATGGGGACAGTAGCCTAAGATTTTCCTTGATTCATTTTAATCACAGTTGTCTTAAGCCTGTGCTCATATCACGTCTAGTTTCGGTCTTTTCAGTAGTACTTATTCAGCCAATTTTTTGCCATATTTCTTTCTTGTAATTTATTATTCCCTCAGTCTCAATGGAGTGTACCTTTTTTTTTTTTTTTTTATTTTTATAGTGGATTAAAAACTAATATAATTTTATTAATTAGTGAAGTGTATAAGATAATTTTAATATTTTTACTCTTATAAATACAAAAGAAATGATTATTTTTGTAAACGTTGAGTATTCTTGTATTTGTATATATATTATTTTTACCGTAATAAGAAAGGGATACTTTTGAGTGGAAGGAACGAAAATGGTTAAAATAGGATATTGAGTTTGGATGGAGGGAGTATTATTTTTGTCCACTAAATTTATGTCTTTTTTTTTTATTGTCGGCCAAAATAGTAAAAAGCTTTCCATTTATAATTTTATTACTTTTATTTTAATAGATAACTATGTTTTGCATCACTTTTTCAACCTACTTTACTATTTATTTATTTATTTGTTTATTTTTATCACTCCTTGATACACTTTTTATAATATGCACACTTTACTTGTTATCTATCCTACCTTTATATTAAAACACAATTATTTCTTAGTCTCCATGCTCACGACCATGCCTAAGAGCAGTGACATAATTTTTATGGACGGAGGGAGTAAATATTACTGTCTTATTTCATCTCAATGTGTATGTGTGGGTTTTCATAAATGCCAGTTTCCTTATTCATGCTTTTCAATTGTTAGAAAACCAAGAGGGCACCAAAGGTGGAAATTGGAACAAAAGCAACCGATGCCTCCCTTGATGAATGGTTACAGGTTTGTATATCTAAAACTCCCGATTTTCTTTCTTTCTTCTTAACTACTGTCACCACATCCATGGCCATGCCGTTCCAAAATTGAACCTTCTAGAAATTTCTAAGCCTCCATTAACAGCAGCTAATGTGTGTGGATTGATATGATGCATATTCAGGGAACGGCATTCTCTCAGTCTCAGTCCAACAAATCGAAGAAGAAGAAGTAAAAAGTATAGAGACAGTGATCGCCACCAAATCATTAGGTATTCATTCGACACACAACCTGAAAAGATGAATTAGTAATTCAATTTAGAGCCTACATATATTTACCCTGACATGAAGAAACTTGAAAAAGTAAATGATTTTTCTTAGATACGAATGTGATATCTGAGTTTATTCATGTCCAAACCTACGGCCATTCAAACATTTTTGTAGAACCATGAAATTTTCCTTTTTATTATTAAACTATGGTCATTTTCGGATTAATTGTTCATATTTTTAGCTCCCTTAATTAGGATTTTAAATTCAATGAGCCATGGCCTGCTCGGTTATGTGCATCTTATGCTTCCACTGCGCCGGAACTCAGCGGGGACTAGTTTGAGTTTTTGTCCTAACAATAACTGGTACGTGTAGCGTTGGGACCATTTCTTGTTTTCATTATGTAAAGTCTAGAAATAGTCTTATATCTGATGCATAGTTGCTGCAAAAGTTTTATGGTGTCGGAGTAAATGTGTTGATATAGTTCTTTTGGGAATAATAAATAATTAATATTTCATTTGATATTCAATGAAAGAGTAGGCATTTGATTAAATATTTTTTAAAAAAATTATTGTTGATGAATAGTGTTAAAATCTAGGGTGTGTTTGGTTGGGAGTTGGGATTTGAATAGTAAAAATTTTGAATTTGAATGGTTGTATGATGCGATATAAATAGGTGCTGAAGTGATTTTTGAATGTAAAATTGATTTTTAGTATAGTATAAAAAATAAAAAGTGTTTGATTTGATGTTTGTAGAATATATAATTATGTTTCAGCATAATATATTTTACCTCATTAAGCAAATAATTACAAAGAAAGTAGTATATAGTAAATATTCTAATAGCAAAATTTTATAATTACATGTAATAAAATATAAGTTTAATTTTAGCACAATTTGTTTTGATTTTAGCACCATACAATAAATAGTTTATACAAAACAGTATGTGCTCATTTTAGAGCGGAATATAATTCACAGTATACTTCCTCCGTTCAGCTACAAAATATACATGTAATATACTTTCTCCGTTCAGCTACAAAATATACATGTTTTTATTTTGGGATGTTCAATTATAAAGTAACAATTTCATTAAATATTCCATCTTTTTCAACAAATATCCTTACTTTATATCATATCATTATTTTTATATCAAAAAGCAAGGGCAAAAATGTTATTATACTACTTTTACTTACCCACTATAATTAAAATACTATTATTTCTTAATCTTCGCACCAAAAGTAAATGTATACTTTATCCGTGGACGGAGGGAGTATATTTTTATATAATACTTTTGTTGTTTAGTTTTATTGTCATTTTCATCAATTTCAAATCGATAGTCTCGGTTTTATTTTTGATAACTAGTTTTTTATCATTTTATAAAATTATCCAATTTTTCTCACAATAATTATATAAAGTATAGACATTTTGATATTTTAAATATATTTTTACCCCAATATTAATATAATATTAATATTTTTTAATTTTTGTGTCCATCTCAAATGTTCATATTGTTTTGGGACTAAGGGAATATAACATATGCTATTTATCTCTATTTTAAATTAATATGCTAACTTTGTAACGCTTTAATATTTTCTATATGCTGCCCTCTCCATAGACGTTGCCAAGAAGTATGTCTTTGTGCCATGGGACACATGGCACATCATATAATAAATACATATAGTTTATTTATTGATTTTTATTTTGTGTAATTGTATTATTATATTAATTTATATTCTATAAAATAATATTAATATTGAATATATATATTTAATTAATTTATAATAATTTTTAAAGATAGTAATGAATTAAATATTATAAAAAATAATAGTGATTTATGATGGATTAATTTTTTAAAAAAATAACAAAAAATTATGATTTAAAAAAACAATGTATATATATATATATAATGATATGGAAATTAAAAAGTTGAAATGATTTTCTATATTGTGAAAAGAGAAAATGACGTGGATATAAATAAAAAAGATATATTTTTTTGTATCTCTTAGCATATGTTCTACTATTATATATATATTGGATTGAGTTAGGATTTTATATTAACTTGAATTGATTCAAAAATGTAAAATTTTTAAAAATTTTAATTCGAATCAATTGAAAATTCCTGATAATTAAATTTTATATTTCAATTGGTTTGAAATAAAATATTCAAATTTTGAATATTTTATTTGCTCTGAATATTTGTAATATTGTTTCTTTGTGAATTTAGAAAATACATAATTTTTAGTAAAACTATTACATCAAAATATTAATTAAAATAATACTGAAAATTTAAATCAATTTCTAACATAGATCTATTTTTGCTATTTTTGCAGGTTCAAATAGTTAATAATTAGATATTATAAGACCATCTCCAATGCAGACTTATTTTGCTATTTTTGCCATAAAAAAAAATAATATAAAATAAAATTACACTCCAACCGCATCTGCAATTACGGCTTCTAAGGGTGTGTTTGTTAGGGGGTTTGGATTTTGAATTGAAATTTGAATAGTAAAAATTTTGAATTTGAATAGTTGTATGATGTGATATGAATAGGTGTTGATGTGATGTTTTGAATGTAAAATTGATTTTTAGTATAATATAAAAAATAAAAAATAAGTGTTTGATTTGATATTTTTTGGGGAAAAAATTTGGATGAATAATGTAAATCCAATCCAATCACTCAACTCAAACAAACACACCCTTCTGACGGGGAGGGTGATTTTTTACTTCTTTTTTCTTTTAATTATTAACACTTATTTATAAATTATCGTTTAGTTTTATTTATTTTTTACTTTAATTTAATTTTTATACTTTCTCCGCCTCGCCCGATAAAGCCTTTTGTTTATGTATAAAAATTTAGGTAGTATATATTAGTTATTTAGATAGTGAGTATTAATTATTTAATAATTAAAAAATTTTAAAATATATCTTTAAATATTTTTAACATTATATTTCAATAAAATATATACAATATGTATATCATTTTATAGAGAATAACATCTTATATACTCTCACTGTCTCATAACTATGTATCCGTTTGCTTTTTGCACGTAATTTTAAAAATATTAGTATTATATTGAGATATAGTAAAAATAGAATAGGAATTACTAAAATAACCTTATTAGTTTTGTGTGATATAAAAGTAATGACATTTGTGTAAGATATTGTAAGTTGTAAGGGTATTTGTAATGTTAGTTGCTAAAAATGAAATGAATATTTTGTTATGGAACAAAAAAAAAATGGAAAAATAAATAGTTTGTTATGGGACGGAGGGAGATACAAATAAAAAAAAAAAATTTACTTATTTATCATTACCATAAATTAGTTTTATAAAAAAAATAGAGAGTTCTAAAAGTAAATAAAAATATTTGTTAATTGAGGAGATAGAAAAATAAAAGGGGTTTTGAGTGAGTTCTACGTGCGCAAGAGGTTAAAAATTTAACTAAATTAATTTATATTTGTTAAATGTATTTAATGTTGCTAAATTTACTAAAAGTAAAAAGTGATAATCTTGTGGGACAAAAAAAAAAAAAAAAAAAAAAAAAAAAAAGAGGAAGAAAGAAAAAGAAATTAGTACCTATGTGGCAGGACAGAAGGAGTATTATATTATATTTATAATTAATATATTTATAATAAAGTATATATTTATTGATATATTAATTTTTTTATTAATTTTTATAGTTAATATAAATATTATTTTAAATTAAAAATAATAAAGTATTTGATCTATTTGTGAATTTTAAAATTATACTTAAAATAAAATATAGAGAGCATATTTATTTTTATTTTGTAAAAATAAAAAAGTATGGTTGAAGATGAATCAATCTTGCAAAAATAGAGGACATTGGATGAGGTGACTTACTATATGAATCCTAGAAAAATAGAGAAACATATTGTAGCTCCTGCAAAAATAGAGTTATGGGTTGAAGGTAGTCTAAGAGCATATATATTACGGTCACCTTTTCTGTTATCTCTATAAGAGCATTTTTTACAGTCACATCTTTTATAGCATATATTACGATCACATTTTCAATGTTGATGTGGATGAGAGAAATAAAAAAGTAATGAAATAAAGACACTTATTGCAACGGATGCTTTAATTATCTTCACAATTTTTACGGAACTTATTATCTTTATTAATAAATACACTTAACACGCTTCTAAAAACTCATTACCCCTAATAAAATAATTAAAATAAATTATTTAATTAATTATTATCTAAAATTCAAAATTTAAAACTTTAAAAATTTAAATTTATTAATAATTTATCTATACAAATAGAATTCAAATTCATTTAATTTTTTTTAATCATAAATATATATATATATTTATATCCAATTTCAACATTTGATTTATATATATATAAATTCATATTCAATTTCAACGAACTAAAAAAAAAAAAAACAGTAATATCTTCAACTAGCTCTTTAACAAAATTATAGGATGTTTATGAATAGTCTACTCAATGTGTTTAATCTCTATTCAATCACGGATGACTTAGGACCGGCTCATTCTTACATGGGAGTTGGTCTGGCACCCCTCAAACTCCGAGGGTATCACATTCTCCTCCATTTTAAACGCAACGTCCATATTGCATCTCAATGATCCATAAACTGCTAAACCTCTCAATAGTACGGTCAATGACTATGGGATGTTGCAGGTTGGGTCTGATACTAACTGTGAGACATCGGCCTGCAAGCCACATAGGACTGGGCATGTCGACTGACCCCACAGGTCAACACGACTCATTTTGGCCCGTTGTGTCCCCACTCACGCATACCCTAGGAGACTTCTCAAGGGGTCACCTATTTTCAAATTGTTTTAGGACAAACACACATAACTCTAGAGTTCTTTCAATAGAGTTTCCGAAAAGAAAAGTTGACATTTTATTTTTGTATGTTTCGAATCAAATCTAATTGAAGTACCTAAAAAGATTTGGTGGATAGATTATGGTGCTACTATTCATTTGGCACACATTTTGCAGGGATTTATTTTGGTCGGAACCATAAAAGAAACTAAAAAGTTTATGTACATGGGAAACTGAATGAAAGCACAAATAGAAGGAATTTGAATGTACAGATTGATCTTGGACACTGGTTGTCATGTAGATCTTGAAGAGTGCGTTATGTTCCTGAATGTGCTAGGATTTTGGTTTCAACAGTTTGGATGATGTAGGATATAATCCTAAGATTGGAAGTAATGGATTTTTATTGTATAAACATATATAGTATTATGGTTTTAGTACTTTAATGGATGGTATATATCGTTTCAATCTTAATCCTACTTTTGTTGAATCCTTGTTTAATGTTGAACACAATATTGGAAATAAACGTAGTGCATTTAGTGAGCATTATGCTTTTCTATGGCATCAAAGACTATGCCATATATCAAAGGAAAGAATTACGAGGTTAGTAAAAAATGAAATTTTACCCCACTTAGATTTTTCTGATTAGAATGTATATGTTGATTGTATTAAAGGAAAACAAACAACGCATACATTAAAAGGACCAGTCA